TCTTGGCTTTCCATGCCTTTTTACACCTCCCTTTCTTCATGTGTTCAATACTTTTTTCCCTGTGCCATTCCACATTGTTACAAATAACTTAATTTCTGGACATTTATGGTTTGATTTCTTTGAATGTATGGATCAATTGTGTTGTTACCGAAATCTGGTGAAAATTTCATGTCATTAGCACCTCTAGTAATACATTTACTGAGAAAAATGTTGACRTGTTCAATACTTATTTTACCCGCTGTATTTGACATCACTTTTGTCCCTCTTTTTTCATACTCTTCTCTTGTGCAATATTTCCTACATACCTGACACATTTTTTATCTTTCCCTAGTCTATTTTTTGTTTGTTTTGTAGCTTTTAACTGCATTTGCTTTTGTGCCTTCTTTCTCTGTTTCCCACTTTCTTCCTTTTCAATTTATTGGCCTTCAGTCCTAAATAAAATTCCCCTTTTTCCATTTGATCTGGTCAAAGATTGTATGTTTATCTTTGAGCTTTAGGTTTAAAAGACATTACATAGCATAAAATCACAGGAATTTGCATGTCTAGGCAAAGTGGACAGAGAATGTTTGTTCTTTTCCAGTAACGGCCAGTTTTATGTTTCWTACGGTTGCACCAACGTACCTTTGAGTGCTGAACGTTGCAACCACGGATTGGTGTCAGTCCACTAAGAGCATCACACTTTCTGTGCCTTGCCTAAAAACACACTTGAAGAACCAACGGTTGTAGGAGAGAAGAAAACATTTGACTTCCCACATTTATTTTTTTTCCACGCACACTATTGGTTTATTGGCAGTCGAGTTCATTTTTCAAATATCTCTGCCACTTAAAACTAAAAAGTAAAGGAAAACTGCCTTAACCCCTTTAATGTTTAAAGGTAATAATAACACCCTTTCTTTTTTATAGTTTTCTTCTAAAGTGATCTGATTCTTTACTATTAAACCTATTTTCTTGTTAAAAAAGCTGCTGTTTCTTATGTTTGAATTTTCAAAAACCTTAGCTTTTCCCCTTGCTCTTCGTTTCATTTTTTTTCTCACTTTGATTGTGCTCTTATGCTATTTTCCAATATTTTCAAACGTTGTATACAGGTTGAACACTGAATCTTGTTTATTTTTTTATTTTTTTTGTTTACGTCCTCCATCAGCTTTGTGTGTTTGTTTTTCTTCTAGCATCCTGAGCTATAACCAGATTCGCTGCATCCCGGTCCATGCCTTTACTGGGCTCAAGTCACTTCGCCTGCTGTGAGTAGCACGCTTCGTCCACAAGTGTCGCAGTGAATTCATTATTCAAAACCTCCACGGCTGGTTATATTACCGAGCTAAATGCAACTTTAATCACTTCTCTGAATTCAAGCCAGGTGGCATGTTAGGACCCAGTCACAGTGGCCAAATCATTAGTTGATTCAGGCTGTTTAAAGAGATAAAACTGACGGTTTCTCATCTCTTGAATACGTTCTCTCTATCTGCATGCTCTGGCATCTCTCTGTCACGCTGCGTGTCTCTGTCCATCCATCGTCCCCTCCTTTTCTCTCCCTTCACCCAGGGTTGTGTTTGATGAATCGACTTTCAGCCTCTGTTTCTCTCGGTCATCCATTTGGTTGTCCACCCTCTGTCTAAAAAAACCTGCCTGCGTGTGCACACACAGAGCGCGCATGTGAAGATTTCGGTCCGACCACCCCCACACATTACAAGCGGCTACACACACAAGCATGGATATACACAAATAATGCATGTGGGAAACAAGACGCCAAGGAAAAAAAAAAAAAAAAAAAAA